CCAGGACAACAGCACAGATAAATGTGCCCAGTAATGAGGCAGCTGTCAGGCCGATACCCAGAGGCTCATGGTAGGAGAGGAATTCTGTTTTCTTAGGAACACAGCGGTCACGATTGGGGCCAGACCAGAAGTCCTCTGGACAACTGATGCACTCAGTGGAGTCTATAAAGAAAGGGACAGTATTGTGATACATATGTTTACATTATATCTCCAAATTAATTTCAGTGTTTAAAAGTCAGTACCAACCAGTCTTATTGCTGATCTTTCCCTCAGAACAAGGGATGCAGTCAAAACAGCACACAGGTTCCCCTTTCTTTATGGCCATGCGTGTACCTGGAGGGCAGTTCTCGCTGCACACTGATCGGGGTGGCTGTAGGGAGAACGATAAATATATGTCATTCAACAGTACTTTAATGAGTCATCCATGAAGCTATCCAAAAAATAGATGTCTGGAAAATCACAAGTAACCTTTTTTGATTCAAACTTCCAGAAGATTTTGTCTTCATCAATTGTGAGTTCTTCTCCTTTGAACGCAGATCTCTTAATTTCACCTACATTCTGAAGTTTAGTTCTTCCATCAGGTAGTCGCAGCCAGTTCATGATATCATATATTGGTAAGGCATCACCATTCTCATCAAATGACACTTGATCACCAAACGGTGTTGTGAAGTTGACCTTTTGCAAGTAATACACTAACTATGAGAATAAGGGATAGAACAAAAACAAAGAGGACAAATGAAAATATATATAACCATGGTGAAAAAGATAAGATAAAAGATAGCTGTATCTAGTATTCAATCATCAAAGTGCATACAGATATGAACATATCAACATTCCCAAAATGCACTTCCTTTAAAGTTGTCACAGCTCTGTTACCTAGTGACAAGATATTGTTGCCTCTGACCTGATAATAATGTCCACTGCTACAGGGAATCAAAAATGCTTTTAGCTATCTCCTCTTTCTGATTTGTAATCTCATATCTTTGTAGTTAATGGTAAAGTGTAGAGTAACACTTTATATTAAGGTCCTTATTAAAGTCCTTACTGCAGTTAGTAATAACAATAATAAGATCCAGTTCCTCCAAAAAGCATTGTTAACTCTTAATAAGTGCATGGTTTACTGCTAACAAATGCATAACAAAGTATCTAATTCTGAATGAATGTTTTTTTTAGGACGCTTTTATTAAGTCTTACAATCTTATTAACATATCATATTACTAATATGCATCTAATGATTATTACAAGGACCATAATATAAAGTGTCACTAAGTGTAGGATTAGAAACCGGTAGAGTGTTAACTGATATCACACCTGCCATGGCTCCAGTCTTCGCAAACTGCCACAGCTTTGCCCACTGAAAGGCCCTCTCCCTGGCTCACACTGCAGCATGTCATCAAGGGCGTATGCCAGAGCATACACAGCCTTGTACACATTATACTCTGGTCTGAGGTTTAAAATATCCAAAAACTCAGTCTCCACCTTCTCTAGATCTTCCCATCCAGTGCATAATGCTCCTCCGGCATCAACCCAACCTGCTGGAGGTGGGGCAAATCTACACTGAAACGTATATTCCCAGAACTGGTTCAACTGAAATATATTTAAAACATGCATGTGTTAACATAATAATAATATTAATAACATTCTTGCAATTTGTCATCAGATTGTAAGCCTAAACTTTCACCATGCTATTTCCATTGCTGTTGTTGTGGTGTTGGTCAGGATGTATTTGTAAGAGGAATTCCCTGAGCCCTGGTATTTCTCCTCGACGGATGGCGATGCCCAGTATGCCACCCAGGTATGGCATAAGGTGGGGGGTCTGGAACACAGTAGCTGCTATCCAGGCTTCACTGGCAATCCACTGCAGGTCTGTCACATTCTGCCTCACCACCTGTGTATTATACCAAATTCATAAATCCATACTGCCATGCAACTAAAATAGTGTCTCAATATATATAGTCTACATAGTTGATGTCTTGTCTTAGTCATTCATAAACAGGTGCAATACTGTGTACAGAGTACTCAGTATTATGAGCAAAAAGATGCACATCATTATAAATGGAGTTCAGATTAATTGGTATTAGCAAGTGATCTATGAAACCCTGCTAACAGCACATTTAAATAATAAGTTTAATCAAATCAAATTTCAAATCATCAAATTAAATCTATTTTTACAGGTCAATATGTTATTGTAACTTAAATCCTTCAGTCTAATGAATAAAACATTGAGTAATAAAATAAAAGTGCATGATATTTTTAAGCCCAACCTCTTCCATGAGGTTAATCATGTGACTCTCATGTGCAAACACAATGACTACACGAGCTGTGGACTTTTTCATCACATCCACAATCCTCCTTAGTTCATCTGGGTCACCGCCCCAGGGCAAAACTTCTAAGTAGGCCAGACAGCCTCCACCAGACTGAGCCAGGTCAGACTGGAAGGATTGGGCAGCATGAAGTCCATAGTCATCATCACTGACCAGCAGACCTGTCCAAGTCCAGCCAAAGTACTTTAGAACCTGAATCATAGCACGCACCTAAGTGAATACAGAGTGGAGGGATTAGTGCACAGGTTGGAATAATCTTTCAGTAGGAAACATGCTAAACAAGTTTTACAATGGATCATGTAGCGTGTGAACTAAACAATAGCTTTTGGGGGAGCTCACTTTTTCAACCGGGGGAGTGTGTGTGCATTCATAGCTGCATCGACCTACTCTCTTTATGTCAGCACATCTGTTATTTAATAATCAGTGAAATTGAGACATCAAATGCAGGGGTCAAATATCAAACCTAAAATACTCAACCCTTTGAGTTAAAGTGAGCAAAGTTTATGTCTATATAAGTCATAATTGGTCATGGCAAGAATTGCATGCATGTCGATGTCTTTATTAAAGTGAATTAATGATCACTGATGAATCACCATCATGCTTGAATTATACATCAATAGTTTTCACAATAATTTCACATATGAACCATGATGACGAAGATACAGAAAACTAAAAATAGCATTCTAGTGTTTTTTTTTTTTTTTGCATTTTCATTTTACTGATAGATGGTCACCTGGAAAGC